TGGTGCATGAAACCGACAAGTAACATATTCTTCTACTTGAGTGTCGTTTGAACGCTGGCTGATATGGGTCGGCCGTGGTGCTCCGTGCCCTCTTTTATCAAGTTTTGATATCAACCTTCCGACCAAGGGCTGGTGAAATTTACCGCATAACGACGGCGGAAATTGTAAGATAATCATTATTTTGTTGTTTTAATGTGGTGAATAATTAGTAATTGTTAATTTGTCCGTGAAGTGAAATGTACACCCATTCGAGCACGTCAATACTAATCGTCGTAAACTCCCAGACTCCCAAGAGAAAAATAGCGAAAAGAAGGATGAGCTGATAAGGATGCGGATGAAATTAGATCCTCCAGCAGAACAATTAAGAATGGTTTTGCTTATGGAGGCGTTTAAGCATGACCTCAAATGTCTTCCTCTGAGGATGTGATTACGTTAAGAGCAGAGATTTTTGTTCTCGCAGCCACATTTTTGCAAAAAAAGAGGCAAGGGCCACAGGATGAAACAGAAGATTACGGAAAGCGGACGAAGAGAGAAGAATGATGCTTCGCTTTTAGATTTGAGAGAATTGAGAAGTTATTATAAATATGTAGGTGCATCAAATGTAAACTAATAAAATGTAATATATGGTAAAAATTTAGAAATGTTAAAAAAAATTGATTATTTTTGTGTTAGTCTTCCCAGTGCCAAACTGGCCAAATCGATGTGTTGAAAAAGTGCGGCCTCGTTAAAAATCAGGCGCCAGCTTCCGGGACCGAACCTGGACCTATACAGTGGTAATCCAATGCGCTAGCCACTCGCAAGTCGCAACCAATGGATAGAGAGGAAAACAACATAATCTTGGCAGGACTGTTTCTTCATGATCCGATGTCTTCGAGTAGACGGTTTGGATCGATTTGACCGCAAAATTGTGTTGAGTAACCAAGTCCTTAAAAACGACCTGACACAAAAAAGGAGTAACACAAAGTAGCACGGAGTGACATCAAACACAGAACTTTGTTATACTGTGTACTTAAGGTTCCTTTTTTCGACAGGTTGATTGAGTTACATAACTTAGTCAACTTATTGTAAAAAATCAAATGGAAGAATGTTAAACCCAACCACTCCCTTTATCTCGATTGTTCCCTTTTTCACCCTCATAACTTACCCGTATTCTAAGCATGATCACTATCTCTGCGAGTCTTAGAACTTCCTCTACCACAGGCAAATTTGGTGAACTGGTGAAAGTTAGCTATGACGATTTTCCTTCACTTACATCCATACGTATTTACCGAACGACAAAGATTTCTGTGATATTGAATGCGCATTAAAACATCAACAAAGGTTATACAATCAAGCCGATTATAAGCAGGTAATGAGGAAAGCTCGAAAAAAAAATCCTCTTGTCGTTAAAAATATGTTAAAGGAAGAATTTTTTGGAACTTGTCAAATCCAACTTACTCTATAGAGTAAAAAAGCTATCCTTTCTAGACCAACTTGTCTCGATAAATAGGGATTCTTGCATTCATTTAAATGGAAACTATTTACTCTTTCCACCTTGTGAGAATTACCACAAGCCACAGTCGTGTTGCGAGATTTCATTGGCTACAGTCAGAAAATGCGTTATCTCCTATCACAACGTTGTAAATTTCCGTTCATGTATTAAGTGTTTATCTCTATAGTGTGAAGAAAAATATTTCCTGATTTTTTCCTCTCATTCAAGTACATTCACATGGAATTGTGGGATGGTTGCTTTCATTTCAACAAATATATTATTACTATTTGAGATTTGGAAACAGTGCGGTTTTTAAAGATACAAATTCTATGCAGATAATTCCGTTCGACATAATTTGTTCATTTTAATACGTTCAATCGTTCTCTGAAATATGCTTCAACGACTTTAACGCAAGTTCACAAGGAACCCGCGTTAAGAACGCGAGACAGGGGCTATCTGCATGTATTCTGTATGTGAGTACCTCTGGTTTCCTGTCAACGATGCAAGACGGCACCGGAATTTCCATCCATACTCTTATCATTCAAATTTAAATTTACACTCGATTGTGTCAACCTCAGAAAAGAGATTCGGAGAAAAAAAGAGCAGGAAGAGGAAAAGAAAAATGATTACTCAGCGTTTAAACTTGAACAGCGTGTATTTACAAAACCTTAGTTTTAGACGTGCAGAATGTACATAGTAGGTACATTACATCAAAATTATGAATAGGTACTCTTTACAAATGTTGCAAAAAAACTAAGCTCCATGGCATAGACTAAACGTAGTAACTTACAATTTTTCTCATTTTAAGTGATAAAATCCAATATTTTAATCACTTTTGATAGATTATCTCACGCATATTGAATCATGCTTGCGAGAGTGCGATACATTGAAAAGTCCTATTACTTCAGTTATAAAGCATTTCGTATAGTCATCTGAACGAATATTATTGATGTGTTTCTGGGATAAATAATTTCTTTAGTGATTGGATGTTTCAGATTTTGTCTTCCACACTCAATGAACTTATGAATAGAGAGACAAAAAGAAGTGGGTTCTATCAGAGCCTTGATCGGGGATATCAGGGAAAAGGAAACCAAAATGATGAGATTTCCATCAAGTTCTTATAAAAATNGACAATAACTGAGGCTATAATCTGTTCATGGTTTTATACTTCAGAGGAACAGTTCCACAAAAAATTTAAATCACTCAGAGCACAGATGTATACCGCGAAGAGAGGCGGCAAATCGGGAGATGCTGCTGGGAAGGGGCCGTTGTGGTGCCTGCAAGAAATGTTATCTCTAGATGACCATATGAGTTCCAGGGCCACGGTCACGAAAATTCCTGTGTTCACTGCACACAGCGTCATTGGATTCCTTTGTAGTTTGCATGACGCATACGAAACTTCCTTCCGTTTTGGTGCATAAAAACCGACAAGTAACATATACTTCTACTTGAGTGCCGTTTGAACGCTAGCTGATATGGGTCGGCCGCGGTGCTCCCGTGCCCTCTCGTATCAAGTTTTGATATCAACATTCCGACTAAGTACTAGTGAAGTTTACCGCATAACGACAGCGGAAATTGTAAGATAATCATTATTTTGTTGTTTTAATGTGGTGAATAATTAGTAATTGTTAATTTGTCCGTGAAGTGAAATGTACACCCATTCGAGCACGTCAATACTAATCGTCGTTAACTCCCAGACTCCCAAGAGAAAAATAGCGAAAAGAAAGATGAGGTGATGAGGATGCGGATGAGATTAGATCCTCCAGCAGAACAATTAAGAATAGTTTTGCTTATTGAGGCGTTTAAGCATGACCTCAAATGTCTTCCTCTGAGTTTTCATCTCGGAGGATGTGATTACGTTAAGAGCAGAGATTTTTGTGCTCGCCGCAACGTATATGCAAAAAAAGAGGCAAGGGCCACAGGATGAAACAGAAGATTACGGAAAGCGGACGAAGAGAGAAGAATGATAATTCGCTTTTAGACGTGAGAGAATTGAGAAGTTATTATAAATATGTAGGTGCATCAAATGTAAACTAATAAAATGTAATATATGATAAAAATTTAGAAATGTTAAAAAAAAATTGATTATTTTTGTGTTAGTCTTCCCGGTGCCAATTTGGCCAAATCGATGTGTTGAAAAATTGCGGCCTCGTTAAAAATCAGACGCCAGCTTCCAGGATCGAACCTGGACCTCAACAGTGGTAATCCAATGCGCTAGCCACTCGCAAGTCGCAACCAATGGATAGAGAGGAAAACAACATAATCTTGTCAGAACTCTTTCTTCATGATCCGATGTCTTCGAGTAGACGGTTTGGATCGATTTGACCGCAAAATTGTGTTGAGTAACCAAGTCCTTAAAAACGACCTGACACAAAAAAAGGAGTAACACAAAGTAGCACGGAGTGACATCAAACACAGAATTGTTTATACTGTGTACTTAAGGTTCCTTTTTTCGACAGGCTAATTGAGTTACATAACTTTGTCAACTTATTATAAAAAATCAAATGGAAGAATGTTGAACCCCACCACTCCTTTTATCTTGATTGTGCCCTTTTCACCCTCATAACTCACCCGTGTTCTAAGCATGATCACTATCTCTGCGAGTCTTAGAACTTCCTCTACCACAGACGAATTTGGTGAACTGGTGTAAGTTAGCTATGTAGATTTTCCTTCACTTACATCTATACGTATTTACCGAACGACAAATATTTCGGTGATGTTGAATGCGCATTAAAACATCAACAAAGGTTATACAATCAAGCCAATTATGAGCAGGTAATGAGAAAAGCTCGAAAAAAAAAATCCTCTTGTCGTTAAAAGTATGTTAAAGGACGAATTTTTTGGAACTTGTCAAATCCAACTTACTCTATGGAGTAAAAAAGCTATCTTTTCGAGACCAACTTGTCTCGATAAATAGGGATTTTTGCATTCATTTAAATGGAAACTATTTACTCTTTCCACCTTGTGAGAATTACCACAAGCCACAGTCGTGTTGCGAGATTTCATTGGCTACAGTCAGAAAATGCGTTATCTCCGATCACAACGTTGTAAATTTCCGTTCATGTATTGAGTATTTATCCATATAGGGTGACGAAAAATATTTCCTGATTTTTTCCTCTCATTCAAGTACATTCACATGGAATTGTGGGATGGTTGCTTTCATTTCAACGAATATATTATGATTTGAGATTTTGAAACATTGCGGTTTTCAAAGATAAAAATCCTATGCACATAATTTCGTTCGACATAATTTGTTCATTTTAATACGTTCAATCGTTCTCTGAAATATGCTTCAACGACTTTAACGCAAGTTCACAAAGGAACCCTCGTTTTGAACGCGAGACAGGGGCTATCTGCATGTATTCTGTATGTAAGTACTTCTGGTTTCCTGTCAACGGTGCAAAACTGCACCGGAATTTCCATCCATGCTCTTATCATTCAATTTAAAATGACACTCGATCGTGCCAACCTCAGAAAAGAGATTCGGAGAAAAAGAGAGGACGAGGAAAAGAAAAATGATTACTCAGCGTTTAAACTTGAACAGCGTGTATTTACAAAACCTTAGTTTTAGACGTGCAAAATGTACATAGTAGGTACATTACATCAAAATTATGAATAGGTACTCTTTACAAATGTTGCAAAAAAACTAAGCTCCATGGCATAGACTAAACGTAGTAACTTACAATTTTTCTCATTTGAAGTGATGAAATCCAATATTTCAATCACTATTGATAGATTATCTCACGCATTTTTGAATCATGCATGCTTGCGAGAGTGCGATACATTGAAATGTCCTATTCCTTCGGTTATAAAGCATTTCGTATAGTCATCTGAACGAATATTATTGATGTGTTTCTGGGATAAATAATTTCTTTAGTGATTGGATGTTTTAAATTTTGTCTTCCACACTCAATGAATTTATGAATAGAGAGACAAAAAGAAGTGGGTTCTATCAGAGCCTACATCGGGGATACCAGAGAAAAGGAAACCAAAATAATGAGATTTCCATCCAATTCTTACAAAAATTTGAATAAATGTTGATCAAATTTTAATCTGCTATTCCGATTTAAACACATTTTGGTAAAAATCCGTCAAAATATGCTACATTTTTCAACAGTCAATCTAATGATGATAAATATTTTTGAAATCCAAACAAACTTTGATCATTTTAGTATCCATCACTATTCACGAAGACCGGAATCTCTATTTAGAAATATTACTTTTCATCTTGCGTTTGAATGTTTCGTCACAATTTTGAAAATAAATGTAAAAAGACGAAGAAAAACCAGTCTCCCGCGGGGGAAAATAAATTCATTGTGATGAAAATTTTACTCTCTTACGAGCAGTGGCGATTCCAGCTAATTAGGAGCATTATTCTTCCTTCGTTTGAAAAGTCAAACAACTCATCCGACTTCACCATTCAGTTTCCGAGAACCTCAAAAATGTTAGGTAAAGTATCCTAACTAGGAATCGATATTTATGAGGACTTGAGACAGAGATAAAATCAGGGTTGCCAAACTTGACTGCCTCGCCACTGGATACGCGTTTTTCGACCCCCACCGACGTGTTGTTCCTTCAGCGTTGCGATCACCAGGAACCCCAACACGCAAGGTCACGTAGTCGAGGACTTGTTAACGTGCAATCGCAGCTTTTCCGATTGGCTCCTCCAGGTAGCACCTCACCGCTCCCTTTTAATCGCCGCTCTGAAAGAGAGCACGGAGGGCGAAATTAGTTTTGTTTACCTGTTCTGCGCTCAGCTCCCTCCGCAAGAACAACGCAACTCCCCCGTGAACCTCGAGAGATCCGCGCGGTTTTCAATCGTTGGCGCCTCCCCGATGTGACTTGATTAAAACTCCGAGAGCACCCGCAGCCAAAAATTAGCGCTTTTCGTGAATCGTCGATCAGTCTTCGGCGCCTGATTAATTTCCGCCCATCGAGCTGGGAACTTACGCAACTTAATTGAATCAGTTGTTTTCAAAAGGGAACGGGTTCGTTCATCGATGAGCCATACTTAGCATGTCCTTTTATGTAAGGCAAGGCTCATGCAAAAATGGACGTATTCCCTTTTGAAAACAACTGATTCGAGTGTGCCTCGACGCCACCTCGCGTTCACTTTCATCCTTTGTTTTAGCGTACTTATTACACTCGGTAATTTCTCGTAATTTTCTTCCCACTTAATGAGACCACCCTCGTAGAAGGAGTTCGACTCGAGGTGAGTGAAACGTTAGGGTGCTTCTTCAAGGCGATTCTAAACTATGTAGAGACAAGATCTTCCACTGATGTTACACAGTCTGTGTTTTTAAGAGATAGTCATAATCATAATTTAGTGATGAATGAAAGAAACTGGTCCATAAACTACACATACCGATGTGTAGCAGCGTTAGTATTGATAAGTATGACATCGAAGTTGGGAAGATTCATTTCAAAAATGGACTGCTGATCATTTACTTCTTATGAGAAGAACTAATATCATCGGTTATCAAGGAGTTGTTTCTGTATTTTATTCGCTGACAAGTCTAACGATTTTTAATTTACATTTTTTCTCTACAATCGTCGTGCGAGCATGTTTACACACATCTAAAAACCCGCAATACACTTGAGTATTACAGGTATTTTAAGTCAAGGACATTATTTCTCAGGATTGAACCTCAATCCTTTCTCCGTTGTTCTTCACTGCACTTTTGCGGGGAGCCTGATACAAAAGTACTAAAAGCAGGTGTGCACACATCAAACAACCCGTATTGCAAGTATGCAATACACAAGTCAAGCAACCCGCAATGCACAAGTTAAACAACCCGCAATACATAAGTTAAACGACCCGCAAAACACAAGTTAAGCAACCCGCAATACACAAAAACATAACGTAAGTAACGTCCCTGTTTCGTCGAGGATATTTTTCCTCGGTATCGAACCTCTGCGTCGTCCTTTACAACACTTTAGCGGGGAGCCTAGCCCGGCGCGAACTCTAGGATCCCGTTGTTAACTCGCAGATATCGCAGGCGCGAGACGGAAGGGATGGCGGATCCGTTGATACCTCCACCCCTCCCCTCACCGCCCCGCCTTCCGGTCCCGCATCTTTTTATTGCACCGAATTTAAAACACGGAGCGGAGAGTGGAGCGGCCAATTTCGTCCCTTTCCCGAGGAGCTCTTTTTATTTGCACTGAGCAATAACGAGTCTGGTTTCGTTTTCATGGCAAGATTCCTCCTCCACCTCTTATGTGGTTTCCTTCCACCCTTTTCCCGCCGATGCCCAGCGTTGCCTCCCTCGAGTAATTAATGTTTGCTCTCCTTTAAAACGAGTCGGGATACGAGAGCTACTTATCCGACGCCGACGCGGAATTCCCGTTCCCCGTGAAATATAATTATTAAAATAAGGAGCCCCGCTCTCCAGAATAAACGGAATGATAAGTGAGGTCTCTCAAATTGTTTATTTTCCTTCGTCTTTTTCCATTTTTTTATACATGCATTTATATTTCGAAAGAGCGCCCGATTGATGCGTCTGTGTTTATCATCGTGTTCGGAGCGTTTCGCAGAGTTGCCATGGTGTGCGAGATATTAAATTTTCCGGCTTTGAAATGCCAGAAGAATTTCAGGAACAATTCCAGAAGAATTTCAGGAGAAATTCCAGAGGAATTTCAGGAGCAATTCCAGAAGAATTTCAGGCGCAATTCCAGAAAAATTTTAGGAGCAATTCCAGAAGAATTTCAGGATTTCTGTCCTTCTAATTTTTAAAGGAAAAGATACTCTTAAAATACATTCATAATTAGTTCAAATTAATATTTTATCCTGCCGTTCAAAAATGTGGGAAAAAAAATTAAAATTGCAAAAATTTGATAGTGAAAAATTATTTCATGAACAACATGTCATCAACAATGACAAATTCTTGGTACTGACACGGTCATTAGCTTTAAGATGAAATTAAACACCAGAGTAAAACAGTTCCTGCGCTTTGATTCACACGGGTACACATAAGGCTTATACGCACTATGACCATTTTCGTGTGGGTTAGGATGACTTGATGATACATTCACATTTGTAAAATCGTGGCAACGACTTTAGCTCTGGTTTATCTTCTTTGGTTCATAATTACTATATTTGAGATGAGTTCTCTTTTCATCAGAGCGATTTTGAAGTTATGATCGATCAATACGATGCCAACCACAACAACGAAAATTCCTGAATTCTGCTCTGATTCATAGTGATTTATATTATTCGATATGATTTTTGTAAAGAAGTTAACCTGTACTTCAGTATACTTGAGACAAGTCCTGATAGCACTTAAGTCCTGCTCAGTTTTTAAGTGCCGACAAAATTCATAATTTTCATTATCTTACACTGAGAAAAGTCGTGATTACAACTTTTCTACAAGAGAACAATCGCTGACATTAAATGGTAATACCTATTATCGTCTTTCCGATACTTTGACAGCGCGCGTGTGCCAACTCATCAGCTTTGCCCCTAGACCTCTTTTTTGGCACTATTCAGTGAAAAACAATAAAAGAATAAATAAAAAATAGGTGCTACCACGGTGAAAATTAGAGGGAGGGATGTTACCGGGAATTCTAAGTGATCGATAACTATGAGAAAAGTTGCCGACTATTTTTTAGTGAGCACCAGTCTAGGCATGCGTCCTATTTTCTGCGTCAGCGTGTCACTTGCGTGGAATGATGAGGGGAATATTGGAATGTTGACTCTTTCGTCATTGATTCCGGAATTTATGGAGTTTCCATAGACCTCTAGCGCAAATAATCGTACCCGTCCTTCAGCCTTATCTTTGTACACCTAATATAAACATTGAGATTAGAAATAATAAAAGAATCGAGGTACTTTTTACGGAATGTTCGGAAAATACTTTGAAATAAATTGTAAACCTCTCCTACGTAATTGAGCATTCTGTCAAACTGCAAATAAGTGCATATTCAATAGAAAAAAATACTTCCTAAAAAATGAGGGCTGCGGCAATTGGTCGACCTTGGAAATCAAAATTCACCGAAGACCAAGGCCAATTAATTAGACCGCAGTTTACAGTGGTTTTTGAGATTTCGCTTAAAAATTAGGAACCATCGAGTGAGAGAGAAAAGTAACCTTCCATATAAATTCGAAAGAAAAAAATTCAGTTTGAAAAGTATTAACAATAAAAATTATAAAATATTCTGTATCATTAACATATATCATCAGCTAATCGACGGCATTTAGTGAATTACGGTTGAAGTTGAGGTCAGATGAGAGATAGACATTTCCAACAGAGAATGATCAGCAGGTAGGAGCTGGTCTCGAATTGTCTTCCTGTAAAACACGAAAAGAAACCATTAGGTCCAAAATCAAATAAACTCCCGAAAGGAACGACGATGCTCCGTGTGATTCGGAGACACGCTATCCTCGCCAATCGAACGAGTTCGGCACGAGTTCTTGGAATTTAAAAAAATCGGCGTACGGTGGCAGAGTGAATCGGGAGAAAACCTTGCTGCGGTCAATAAACACACTAGGAAAATGGGTGGATTGTAAAAGGGGGAAAAAAACCCCAGGGTCTTTGACATTTTCTGTTTGCACCGAGGAAAATACTCTCTGGGCCTCGACCGCGGAAGCAATGATTTACGCAGAGTCAAATTTATTTTGACTGAGAACATAAAGTTTGTTTGGCGCGATGTAGTCTTCCTGATCGACGTGGCTGAGAAAGCTGCTATCATGATTGAGAAAAATATCATGGTCACGCGTTCAATTTTGTGCTGTTAGGGTCTGAGTTTCATAAAAATAAAGACCTTTTTTTAAAAGGCATGTACGCATTTAAAAGTTGCAGAGTGGCGTGATTTTGACCTGCAAGGCTACGAAATTTTCAGCGACTATGCAGTGCAAAAAAATCTGATGGATTGACTGATGGTCAAGTTTTGACTGTAACGTATTGTTTCTGACTCAAATTATTACGACGGGAAAGACAAGATGATTGTATTCATAAGACGGCTGATGATTAGTAACTAATTTTTATCACAATGTCCAGCATACTGGCACCAGAGAAATTCGAATTTAAGACAATCTGTGTAATAATTACTGCGGGAAAGACAAGATGATTGAATTCATAAGACGGCTGATTATCAACTGATTTTCATCACATTTATATCACAGTGGTACCAGAGAAATGCGAATTTCAGACAATCTGGATACTCAAGTTTGTAATTAGTATTAAGTGCTTTAACTCGCTAAAATTAGTCCGTAATTATTGCTGGCATTGAAATATTTTCCCGCTATTCTTCTACTAGTCTTACGTATTTCAAAATAAAGTATGTAATTAATCACTTTCTTATACGAGAGGGAAGGAGAGGTAGTCAATAATTAGGCCGAAATGCCTAACGTTATACTTGCGCGACCCTCAAGGACAGCATAATACACTAATACTAATCGTTAGACAGGATGTTGGAGAGACTGACCTAAGCTATTACTAAGTCGTTCTTGATTTCCTAGCTCCTTATGACTTTCGGAGTAAATCTTCTTGAGGGTGTCCCACTTCTTCTCGTTGGGCGGGAGACCGGAGAGGGTGACACTGCACCTGAACTCGATCACGCCATCTTGTTCGTAGGAGCGCTGCGACAACTTGTTCTGCGGGATCATCCGCAGTCCCAGCGAGTACGAGTAGAGAGGCCCCTCGCTTTTCACCATCGGGTACCGCTCGATCATGTGACTGTCCTCCACCTGGAACCGCCAAATTCAAAGAAATTCAATCATTTGGAATCGAAAATACGTTAATTCTTCGAAGACATGTGCAAAGATTGTTGGACGAGAACGGGTCATAAAATCGTGTTTTGATGCTTCATTCATGTAGATTCGCTAAAACTAAGAAGATCTGTCTAAACAGCAACTTTCTACGTTGAATATGAACCGAGATATCGTCCTTTGAAAGTTGTGAATTTGATGTCGTCCACCGCGGTAGTGCCATAACATGGTATGTATTACCGCGGTGGATGACGTCAGAAATCGAGCTTTTCTAGGCAAGGTATCTCGGTTAATATTCAACAAAGAAAGTTGCTGTTTGAGCAGATCCTCTTAATTTTAGCTAATCTAAAAGAACCAAGCATCAAAACACGATTCTGTTACCAGCACACCTGGCCCATTGGACCGAGTTCATCAGAAAGGCACCAACTCACATTAAGTTGAAAATAAGAAAAAGAGGTTCGAAGTTTTATCCTGCATAAAGCTCAATGCAGAAAATAAACTTCCACCCCTCTCCTCTCGAACTAATTTCTTTACGTCGACTTTCAGTTTTTGGAAGGAGAAAATATACGGCTAGTGGAACGCAATGGCATTCTTGCCATGATTTTTTCGAAAATGTGGGTTGGTTCCTTTCTGATACACTCGGTCCTATTGGCCCATAACAAGTTTTGGATTGAGCACCCTCTAGAAGAGGAGGATGCGACAGGGGCGAGGCGTCACGTGGTGGCAGCAGGGCGTCGACAAAAATATTTAGTGACCATAAAACTAGCAAAAAAAAAGAGAGAAAAGATGTTCGTTGGTTTGCCAGGATGGTTAGGTGGACATCGCGCCTTGACTCTAGGTCAATGGATTCCAAGTACGGTCCCGGTAGTGGAGATATACTTTAACGGAGATGACACTTCGTTGAAAATTGATACAGAGCAGACATTAACCAACTTTAAAGTACGTACGTTGAAACCATGACGAGCACAAAATTAACCAGAAAAATCACCATTGCTTACAAAATCGAGTGCGATGTAGAATGATGTTTCTCAACATGTCATCCTTGTCATGTTCCTGTGACTTTCTTCGTAGACTTTCACAAGCTCCCACGATTATTTATACGGTTGCAAAGACTTAATTTAATGTTCTTATGAATGACGAACAAATATAACTGGCAAACCTATCAATACCTTCTTCCAATGATGACAATGTGTCTAGATTTGTTATCTTATTATTGATATACCCTTAGCTGAGTCAAATTGTTTGAGAAGAATGGAGGACCAATAACTCCTGAGCCCTAGCTTCCACTGGCGAATCTTCACTAGACTTATTGACACTCGATATGCGAAAAAGGTGAAAGCCCGAATATCCATGAGCCACGCTCGACACTATGATATTGGCAGACAGAGCTCATAAATTTAAGGGACTTCGCCCTCAACAAAAAAACACTAACTAGCGAATTCAAGGATGGAATCACTTTCGTTTTACCTTCATCGAGAAAATGAGCGTAACTATGCTCACAACTTGGCAACACTATAACGAATGCCTAGCGCAAGGGTATTTGTTTTATGAATATGTATGCTTTATTTTTCAGCTAACATCTTTGAAAGCTCACCATAATTATAAAACTTTTCCAGGGGTAAACATTGTGAGCCGCAACCGGAGCTTGCGATGTACGCTACGCCCTCCGCTTGCAATCAAATGTTCCAAGTTTAAGAGGGAATTCTCCGTTGCCGTTGCTAACACTGTGCTTTTTGGTGCTCTCACGAATGTTCCGTTCAGTGACGCCAGTGAGTAAGCCAGTGAGTGATGCAGTATCACTATATCAATGAAAACGATAATGATGAAGACGAAGAAGCTAACGATAACGGCAGCGAAATGAGTTCGATACAGTTCATGTCCGAGGATATGTTTACAACTACCTCCAAAAGGAAACGTGATGATGGTGATAATGGTAAAGAGACAGGTAACAATTTATGAAATTTATTATTAATATCTCTAATATAATATGAAACGCAGTGGAATATCATTTAAGTGTTGGGGTGGAAAGATATGTAAATTTCAATTATAGGTCGTTGTTTCTTCGGAAGGGACAGGGACAAAACCAAACCCAGGGACCAAATTCTGGCATTTTTTTACCATACTTTTTGGATATTCCGCTCTGGCAAATAATCTCTCGATACGTGGCAAAAATGTCCACAGACAAATTGGACTACAGTTCGCGTTAAATAATTCTTGGCCCATTATAGGAACAGTATGTGAGTTTCCCAGAACCAAACGATAAACTCATATTACAGGAAAATTGATTCAGTGCTAAGGGAATCTCCAATAACGGTTCCATGCGTGTGGAAAAATGGTAGCTCGAACATACGCCGGTCATGAGAGACGGAGTTCTGAAAAATTGCAATTTGCATTGAAATTCATGGGAGGGGGATGTGCGATTTCCCCTGATACCTCCACGGAAAAAACGAGCTTAGGGTTGGGACCTACATGTTAGTGCTGGGCACTAACGAGGGTTAGGTCAAATGGAGCCAGCAAGTCAGAGGAGTGCTGGGCACTAAACAGCTCGAGGCTGGGTCATTAAGGAAGAAGTAGTGTCAAGCCCTAAAGTGACCTCGGAGCGAGCGTAAAATATGAAACGCCTCCGCCTGGGAGCGAACTCGAGTTGCGCCGGTGGAAGACCAGCGCGTTGCCACCAGGCTATGGTGGCTCCGACGTCTCATGGGTGAATTTACACCTGTTCAGCGCAACTACGTCTCGCGGCATCTGATTAGCACTACTCATGTTCAGTGTCCAACTGAACTGCCTTCCGGTGTTGAGCTGTACAGCGCTTAGACGCCAGCCCTCAACTACTCCCCACTAAACGGCCAGTAGTGCTCAACACTAGTCTTGTTTTTTCCGTGTCAAAATGACTAAAGGATGGGTTAGGTATCTTTAAATTCTGGTGTGCTAATACGTATGTGCCTGTCTGTATAGATAGGCTCTCCTGAGGATGGGCAAAAAATAGTGGTTCTAGATGAAAAATGTACCCAATTTCAATTTGCTCCGATAGTGACGTCCAGATAGATAATGTCTCACACTGAATATTACTTTCTGTAAACGTCGCATTTAGTTTCCGAAAAGATTTTGTGTCTCATAAGGGATTGCATTGCTAAGAAACAAATTACGGTCGTGAATTACACAACCGTTTTGATGGCTTAGCTACGTATCTCCATTGCAGGGTTTCAAAATCTCTGAGTCTAGTCTACTTTTTCGAAGAGAAGCAAGTCAGCTATGTACCTTGGGGTTTGAACGGAATTTTACATTCTGCTGATGGAGAAAAAGAAAGATATTAACTTGTTTTTCAAGGCAAAATCAAATATGACACGAAATCTGCAACATCGCAAACAAAAATAGGTGGTTTTGCACTTTGGCCATCGGTATCTAACACCATAATACGAAATCATGAGAGTAACGTGTAACGTCTGAGGCGCGAAGCGCTTTGGGGGTTGCACCACGAAGTAGTAAGAGGGCGCACCATCTGGTAACCTAACCTAACCTAACCTCCTCTGTTTGGTAGGGGTATTACTCGAGTGCAAAGTAATATAGCCTCAAAAGTCAATTAAGAAATGTGAAACGGCGCACTTCGGATGGTAAGTTGCGACTTCGAGCGTGAGCAAAACGCTCCGAAAGTAAAATAAATAAACGAACAAACGAAACAAAACGAAAAATTCAGGGAGTAGGAGGTGTTTAGACACCTCCCTAAAGAACTTAAAAAAACACTACTCTTTAATGGACCACTAGACAAGGTACGAATTTAAGCAATCTGATACATGTTTCTCAACCAGAATTTCACGCAGAACACGATTCACACAACGGAAATTACTGAAACCAACTCTTAACAAAGATATTAACGTTTTTATTTCACATTGGCTGCAAGGAATTCGAACTGCCCGCTCACAAAAAACTCTAAGCTCTACGCGAGTCAAATCGCGCACCACAACGGTTTCAGCGAGCCTCTCAATCGAGCAATGTTCATTTTCCACCATGTGTTTTTCAAACTACAAGCAATTTGCTACAGCTGAGCCAAAGCGTCAAGACTGAGGTTGCCAGATTTTTAAATCGCAGAGACCGTCATGATAACGTTTAGCGCGCGATGTGAATCACGTAGAGCATTGAGTTTTAATGAGCGGGTGGTTTGAATTCACGCATCAAGAATCATCAAATATCTTCGTAAGGAGTTAATTTTGGTAATTTTCTATGTGCGCATCGTGTTCTACGTGAAATTTTAGTTACGAAACATGTATCAGAATGCTGAAAATCGCACCTTGTCCAGTGGTCCATTGAACAAGGTGAGGTGATATCTACTGGGACTGGCTCCATAATTTGCCACTTATCATGGAGATATTTATTCTATGCAACTAAAACATGTTTGCCTCTGTAAAACAATACCAACACAAAAGACTTACAGTCAATTTCTTCACTTCACTAATGAAAATGACAAAAATAAAAAAAATTGATAAGAAAAATTTTTCAAATTCGATCAAATTTTTGCTTTTCTGCTATATTCATTGCAGTGTTTGTCATCATAGTTATAATGAGTGAATTTGATGTAAAATCCGGGCACTCCAAAGAGAAAATTCCTAAGCTCTAGCATAAGAAAGAGCCTGAAAATTCAAGTATATTCCGGGACTCATCAGGGCGTCACGAAGCCCGTAGAAGGGCAGATTCTCCTTAATTCTTAACTTGCGTGGTTGCAACGAAGCAGATCGGCCACGGGGGTAGTTACGGGCGGTTTTTCCGCAACGCGTCACAAATTTTTCAGGGATCGCGGTCCGCCCTTAGTCGACGCTCAGCCTCGCAACACTACGCTTCCTATTGTCACGAGCGGCCCTGATTTTGCATGAAACGACGAGATCTTGATGTAATGCCACAATGCCGCAAAAACGGTAGCTTTTATTAAAAGTCCTTTTTCTCTCGTCTCCNGGGAGATAAATTGGGTCTGTTTCAACTACAGCAGG